TCCCTGAGCCCCGCCAGATCTCACCGGGTGGAAGAAGTTGGCCTGGGCACCCAGCGAGAGCAGGCGCAGGCAGGTCTCCAGGTTGCCCGTCCGCACACTCGAGTGCAATTGCTGCAGAGGAGAGAGCTGGTAATGGGGGGACCTGTCCCCTCTGCCACAGGGGAGTCCCTGAACCCCCTCCCCACCTTGCTGAGGTCCTTGGCAGTGACGCCGTCATCATCCCGGCAGGGCAGCTTGTGGACGAAGGCCAGCATCTGGTACTTGGCACGGATGAACTCCGACTTGGTGGGGCTGGAGAGTGGGCAGTGGGTGAGGAGGGGGCTCCCAGCCAGAGCTGACCCCCTCCCCACAGCACAGAGGGCACTTACTGCACTTTGTCCTGGGGGTTTGCCTTCCTGCGCCCGCTCTGCACCTGCGCTGGATCCAGCAGCGAGTGCTCCCAGATGGAGTTGGCCCCATTGCTCGCCAAGGTGTGCACCATCTGCAGGGGACAGGCAGGGCCCAGTGGGCATGGGGGGTCCCAGTGTGCGTGTCCCCACACTGCAGTGTCCCCAGCACCCACCTGGAGCAGGGTGGCGGGCCAGGGGCTGTGGCGCAGGTGCTTGACGATGGAGATGTGGCGGCCCAGGCTGCGGTGCACGCTGCAGCACTCGTCACAGATGAGCACCCCGCGGTTGATGGACGCCCAGCCAGGGTCTGGGGGTGGCATGGGGGTGTCAGCGGGTGTCCCCACCCCGTGCTGTCCCCTCCTCATGCATCCCTCCAGCAGGGGGGATGCGTTGCCACAGCAACCATTTCCCGAGAGATGGAGAGGGGCTCAGCCCATCACCAGGGGAAACCCACAGGTTTCCCATAGCAACCACCAGCCAAAACGGGGGCAGGGTTTGGCCCCCCACCATCAGGAGGACAGCTGGTGGCAGGGATGATGCCAGCACACTCGGATCAGGGGCACTCTGGCTCACTGTGAGGTCACTCATCCCAGAGCCCCCAGCTGGGTGTTTGGGGGGTCCTGGATGGGGGCAGCGTGCCCCACAATGGGTGGGCACCCCCAGTCCATGGGCTCCTACGTAGGG